TAATGGGTATTAACCTAATAGGTTCTGTAAACTGGAGGACATTATGCTAAGTGAATAAGCCAGGCATAGAAAGACAAACACTGCATGATCTCACTCATTTGTGGAATCTAGAGCTTCTGAACTCATGGAAACAGAGAGCATTAGAATGTTGGGTACAGAGGCTGGGGGTGGGGAATGAGGAATCTCAAAGATCAAAGGGCACAACATCTCACCTAGCCAGGAGGAATAAGTTGTTTTTTTTTTTTTTAGCTCTATTGCACAGTGTAGTGAATACAGTTAATAATAGTGTGTTGCATATTTCAGAATTGCTAAAAGTGTTCTCATCACAAAAAGGTATTTGAGGTGATGGTTAATTAGCTTTATTACCCCACACTGTATTCACAGATCATATCACTCCGTACCTCACAAATATGTATATTCATAAATCATCAATTGATAATAACTTTTTTTAAAGGTTACTCCTCAGCCTTTTCATTTCTTCCTTAGAAGAAATCTTTTTACAACTTTCTCCTCATAAATTTCAGTTTTGAACTTTGGGTCATTATTATTGCTTCCTTTGAACTCTCACCAAATGTTCCTCCATTAGGTGCACAAATTTTCTTCTAAAATCATGGAGCAAGGAAAATGGATTCTTATACTTCTTCAAAAAGTAAATAACCAGGTTATAGAAATGACCAACACATACTACCAGTGTAGAAGGATCAGTTCTCCCAGCAACTCTCCCACATGTCCTTGCCCAGCTTCCACCACGGCTGGCTTCCTTACATTCCCACAGTACATTTGCCATAACTAGTAAATCGACATAGTCCGTTCACCCATATGGGTGGTTTATAAACAACAGACATTTCTCATGGCTCTGGACTTGTCACTGGAGACATTCACCATGACGTCTGGGTAAGTGTCTGTCAGTTCTTCTAACTGAAAGTTGCTGTTTTTCCCTTTCCATCCTCTGTTCTTTGAGAGCCACTAAGTTCAACCCACCTCACAAGAGAAGATGTAGGAGGTCAAGTGCCTCCTACAGAAAACAGTTCTGCGTGGGATGGAATATGCTTGATCTGTAACAATACATATTTCATTTACATAGTAAATATGTAAATTAATTACCAAATAGATAAATGGGTTGGAAACAGAAAAGAAGAATAGGAAAACAGGACTGGAAAACCAAGTAGCTTTCCAGCTATTTCCCAGAGAAGGATCTCAATGGAAGGATGATATTTTGATCAACTGTCATTTTAAGGAGTTTGCAAGTTTAGCAATAGATAAGTAGCTTCTCTACTCTCTTCTTAAGAATCACCCAAGCCAGACTCAGTGGCTCAGCCTGTAATCCAGTGCCTTGGGAGGCTGAGGTGAGTGGATTGCCTGAGTCCGCGGGTTCGAGACCCGCCTGGGCAACTTGGTGAGACCTCATCTCTACAATAAATTTTAAAAAAACAGCTAGCTGGATGTGGTAGCACGTGCCTGTAGTTCCAGCTACATGGAAGGCCGAGGTGGAAGGATCGCCGGAGCCCAGCAGGTCGAGGCTGCGGTGGCCGAGCGGCCACTGCACTCCAGTCTGGGCGACACAGTGAGACTCCAGCTCAAATAAAAATCACCCAAAATAGGCAACTCCATCGGGTTCCCTCCCACTGTGAGAGCTTTTCTGTCTTCTCAATAAATCCTGCTTAAGAAAAAAAAAAATCACCCAAAATAAAAAGAACAAGAAATAAGCAAAACTGTACATTTCAACTTCTAAGAAATTAGGGGAACTGTGAAGTCCTAGTCTCCAACCCTGAGGAAGGGCCACCAGGTGCAGAAGGGTGGATGGGCGTAGGGAGACATGGGGAACACCCAGCCTACACCCTAGACACGCCACAGAGGAAGGAAATCAGACAAAAGATAAAACTGGAGATCAAATGTATAATAATCAGAAAAGATGCAATAAAGTTATCATGGTTTACAAAAGTGGTTAATTTCAAGGAAAACCCAAGAAATGCATTTAAAATGGCCTAAAAAATGAGAATTTAGTAAGGTAGCTGGGCACAAAATTAGCATAAAGAAGTAACCCTAGCTGGGCTTGGTGGCTCAGCCTGTAATCCCATGCTTTGGGAGGGTGAGGTGAGTGTATTGCCTGATCCCACGGGTTCGAGACCCGCCTGGGCAACTTGGCGAGACCTCATCTCTACAATAAATCAAAAACTAGCTGGGTGTGGCAGCGCGCGCCTGTGGTTCCAGCTACTTGGAAGGCCGAGGCGGAAGGATGGCCGGAGCCCAGCAGGTCGAGGCTGCGGTGGCCGGGAGCGGCCACTGCACTCCAGTCTGGGTGACAGAGTGAGACTCCAACTCAAAATAAGTAAATAAATAAATAACCCTATAATGAAAAAAAGACACCATTTACAGAATATCAGGCAGATAAATTACCTTGCAATGAATATTTAAAGAAATGCTGTATCAACAGACAGTAATATCAGTACCCTTAATAGGAATAATCAACATCAAGATGCCCCTTCCATGTTCCCTCTTTATTAACACACACTAGTTAAGCAAACTACAAAGAGAATTCTGAGGTGAAGCTAGAAGGGGTGATTTGATGATGCACAAAACAAAAGGGCAATATCACGGGGGTGGAGAGCTGGCCAGTGGTGGGCAGGGGCTGAGTGAGGCACAGCCTGAGGCAACTTGGGGTGATGGATACGCAATCCCAAACATCCGTCAAAACCCACAGAAACGTAAGTTACAGGGAATGGGTTCGACTGAATATAAATTTTAAAGTAAATCAAAGAATAAAAAAAATAATACATAAGAGGCAAAAACTTCTAAAAATGAAAAGTATGGAGGGGAAACTAGCTCTACCGTAAAAACATATCATGAAGCTACTACAATCTAAATAGTGTGGCCCTGGCAGATGAGCAGACCGATCCATGAAAGCAATTATAAGTCCAGACATGGACCCAAGTACATACAGAAGTCTAGCAGATAACATGTGAAATTCAGAGATAAAAGAGAGTTTTAAATAAATGGTGATGGGCAGCAGTATAGAAAGAAAAAAAAAGCTGAACCCCACCTACCTTTTATCAAAATGAATTGTAGTTGGACTCCAGTTGAATGAAGAATGTAAACATGAAACATAAAATTGTAAAAACATTAGGAAAAAAATGAAATAATTCTTTTATATAGACTAGATCTGAAAAGATACTTATATATCCACAAAGCCTGCCTCTGGGGAAGATTAGGAGACTTACACTGGAACTCTTTGTGTTTAATTACCTATTTCGAAAGTATGCATAAAACAACTTTTGCATTTTCTGCTCCTAACCATCAACTTAATCAAGAGCTCACCATAAAACATGTTTCTCACAAAAAACATCTAAACACCTGATTTAGAAATACTATGCATAACATACAGCTCACAGTACAATGCCCGACATACAAAAGGTGTTTCAAATGAAAAGAGGCAGCTATTATGTTATTTGTCATGGACTTCCCACCACACAAATATGTATTTTGAAATGTGTCCTCAGTATTTTCAAATTTGGTAACCCGAGATGTGGTATCACTGCACGAAATAAAAATGTCAGTCAGACAACACCCGATTAATCAAAGTCTGAAGTAACATCATCCAGAAACCTCAGCACCTGGCCCCAGTCCCTCTGCTCTCACCCTCCAGGCCAACCATCCTTCCCTCTCCAACTCCTTGCTTCCCCATCCAACTCCCTGCTTCTTCCTCCCTATTCCCAGCCTCCCCCTCCTGATTTCCTGTTTCCCCTTCCCTGTAAAGACATGGTTTCTTCTCCATGTGAAGACCTCTGCCCCATCTCTTCCTACCGAAATCATTCTTCTAGTGGGACCAGCTCAAATCCTATCTATCTGCAAAGCTCTCTGCAAACTATGTGGCCAGGTTTATTATACACACATGCACAAAGAAAGGAAGCAAAAGAGAGGAAAAGATACAAAGACAGATGATCAACTTAAAAAGTTATTTATTAAACACATTAAACACAACTGAAAGTATATTTAAAAGTTCAACATTACCGGATCCCTTCTGAAATATCCATTCTGAAAACAAGTATTTTGTCAAATTTTCTAGTGATAAGAGAAATGAAAGAAATTGAACAGATTAAAAAACATTCTTAAACAAACAGTAAAGCACACAATAAATTCAGAAATAAAAACGAAAACATGCAATCATAGAAACTGTTAACCAAAATGTTTCATATATGTTTTAAATGCTTCTGGTATACTCAAGTGAGAGTCAAGGTGTCTCAGTAGAAGTTAACAAACAATATACAAACTCACCATTTTAAAGGTGTTACACTGTTTTACAGAAATAATTTCAGAAAGAACATGTGATGGGTGTGCCAACTGTTCATATTTAGCAAAACATATTTTACATATGAACATATTCCTTTATACTTACTAGAAAACAAACAATTTATAATTAAAAAATCTTGATTTGAGAACGCCTGTGGATTTGAGAGGTCTCCTAAATTCCAACATAATTGCCAAATGTGCTACTGAAGGATAGTTGCTCAAAAATATTTTTTAAAAAAGAATTGCTTTAAAAAATTTCAGTATTTTAAAGCAAAGGAAATATAATGTATTCTTTGTTCATAAATTCTAAAGCTTAGTTTCTATGGTTAACACAAAAAAATGGCGCACTAGGGAAGAGGCCTACAGAAAAGCCTTGGACTGCACAGCGGTTCCGGATGGCATCCTACAGTCCTTCGCTGGAAGCCTGGTCTCACGATCTGGCAGCTGCTTCCATGGAGAATGTAGTTTTGCCCCATCACTTATCACGGGTTTTCAAACATTACTAACCATGGCAGCACGGGAGACCATGGCGTGAAGGGCCCCAGTGGACACAGGCCCCTCTCAATAGAGGCCTGCTTTGTGTGCATGTTAGCCTATCCAGAAGACACAACACACCTTCCTGCTCAGATCTTGACTATACATCACGTCTGCCACATATTGAGACTGGAGGGCTCTGCCTCTCTAGGGGCCACCCTCCCCCGTTCCCATCCCACAGAGGACCATGTCTCTCTGGCTCTGCTCAGTCTGACAGGGAAGGAGAGCGGACGGAGCGGCCGCTGGCGGGGCTGGCCAGTGGGAAGGGCCCCTTGTCCTTGTCCTTGCTGTCATGCTTGTGCCGGTGCTTGTGCCGGTGTTTGTGCTTCTTCTTCTTCTTCTTGTGCTCATGGTGGTGGTGATGGTGGTGGTCACCGTGTCTGGAGGATGCGGTTTCCTTCGTGAACACTGAGAGGGCAGCTGCCGCCGGGTGCACACCCACCTCCAAGGGTGGCTGTTCTTTACCTGCAAGATCAAAATACCCATGAGTTCCAGCTGGTGAGAAGGACAGCAAGCCAGAGCCAACTGATGCCAGGACATCCTAGGAGAGGCCCAAGGGCCAGCTGCATCCCCATCTAACATCCGCTGGGAGCAGTTTCTAACATGTGGCAGGACCCTGAGAGTTTAGCTCCTTACAGTCCACATATGACAACACATACCAGTGTCACCAAATCATCCTTTAAAAAGCACAATTTTGCATGCATGATGCGGACAGTAGTAATAAGTGTGTGCTGCAGAGAAAGACCCACACTGGTCAGCAAGATGTAACGTCCTCAGCTGGAGGCTGTCCTGAGGCACGGGGAATGGCTGCACATTGATGCTGCATCACGGTCCACATGAGATCATACACAGATGCTTCATCACATGGGTCCACATGTGGCTGCACACCAACCCTGCATAACATGGGTCTAACCCCACGGGTCCACATACCAAGCCTGCATCACACGGGTCTCATCCTGCGGGTTTACACCCGGCAGCACACCAACACTGCAACACGCAAGTCTCACCCCGCGGGTCCATATGCAGTTGCACACTGACCCTGCATCATATGGGTGCACACATGGCCATGCACCAACACTGCATCACATGGGTCCACACGCAGCAGCACACCGATGCTGCAACTTATTAGTCTCATCTTGTGGGTTCATATGTGGCCACACACTGACCCTGCACCATATGGGTGCACACGTGGCCACACAGCAATGCTATATCACATGGATCCAACATGACTACACACCGATCCTGCCTCACATGGGTCTCACTCCACGGGTCTACACCCGGTTGCACACTGACCCTTTATCACACGGATCTTATTCTTCAGGTTCACTTAGATTGGATTTTTTCTGACCAGATGCAGATTGAACACAGTACTCAAAGGCTGCAAAGCCTGTCTCTCAGGAGGTTGCCTTTTGTATTGCAGGTCCTGTTCTACAGGGTGGCTGCAGGACCTGCATGCAGAATTCTGGTCTACATGGGGTATCTCAGAAGCAATCCTCACACAGACAGGGATATTGGATGTCATTTGTGCCACCTGTAGAACCACTTATACACATACAAACATGTGATTCTGTTACTGGTAAGGATGTCCCAGTGAAAATCCAACAACCTTATGGCTCCTGAGGACGACTTCTAGAAGAGATGGGCAAGGGGAACTCTGAGAGGATCCACTACACACAGCTTCAGACACCCAGAAAAGGTGGGGCGTCCACAAAGGAATGTCTCTACACAAAGATGACAGGATCATCAGCACAAAGAAAGGCGCTGAGAACAAGGAAACTCAGGCTGGACACCAGGCTGCCATATTCAACCTCCTGTGTGCACCTACTTCTCCACACCCATGATCATCTCAGAAGTAGGCGGAAGGGCCTTCAAGGCTCCCACAGCTCCCACAACCATCAGCCCTGGAATCATAACACAGTCCTCAGCCTCTGTGTGCACATACTTCTCCGAATCCACAATCATCACAGAAGGTGGAAGAGCTCCCAAGCTCACACAGCTCCCACACCTGCCAGCCTGGAAGTCATAACACAGTCCTCTGATGCCAGTGTTTAAAAGCCTTCCCTGCAGACTCAGGCCTTGCTATACTAAGAAGCCATGCTCTCTACTATCACTGGTTAATGGTGCTGCCTCACATGCGGCTGACCCCACACATGCTGCCCTGACACAGCACAGACCCTGTCCCTTCTAGAGCCCCTGCTGAGTCTCACACATACCTCTCAAGCTTGCCTGACCCCAATCCTGCCTGAAATGAGATTAGTTCCTCACTGGATATAGTTCCAGTCTCCTACTAGTCACTGGCATCTCCAGTACCCACGGGCTAAGTGTCAAATCTGTCTCTGACATAGTTCACAGCTCAGAGCACCAGAGGTTGATGTTGCCCCAAGGGTTTTGTGGCAATGTCTGGAGACATTTTGTTGCTGGCATTCTTGTGGGTGGAGGCCAGGGGGTATGCAAATCCCCTGCAGTGTACAAGCTAGCCCTACAACAGAGTTATCGTGCCCAAGTTGTCATCTGTGTTCAGGCCGGGAAACACTTCCTAAAAACACAGCTTATGGTACTATCTACCAGAGAACTCAGTTGGTTCTACTGAAAGAACAAAAGCCAAACTCCTTGGGTTTCAGTGCAGCAATTTCTGAAAATAAATATTTTAAAATCCAAATGAGATTTAAAAAAAAAAATAGACTTTAAAGCAGTCATTTTTTATCTTTCTTAAAAAGTCACTTCTTGGCACTAATTTTGATTCAAATCAGCTTGAAAGTCATGGTTTTCAGCACCACAAGCACCACCAAGTTGGTTTTCTGAAGACTACAGGTATACAGTCACTGGAGTGCCACCCTGGCCGGGTCAGCGTGCCTTCTGTGCCTGCCCTGTCCTTCCGTGTGCTGCGGCCTTGCCATCACAGCCCATCAACACCCATTTCTGCTTGGCATGCTCGGCCCTGACACTTGTCTGACAGTCATTCACCTAACAGACATTAGAATGCTCTGGGGCTGGGAAAGAGCCATGACCTGAAGCCCCCAGCCCTCTTCGGCCTGGAGCTCACAGGGTAGCCAAGGGCACACTGAACCAACATGCCTAGTGGTAATGGGCAAGCAGGCACACTGTGGGCACCTGAATTAGCTGGGCAGCGGGTAAGTTCTCCACAGAAGTCAGGGTCGGGCTGGAATCCAAAGAAGGGAGGGGAAAGGACACGTCAGTCTCCTCAATAATCTAAAATTTAGCTCGGATAACTCTTTGGAAAGTTTTCTCCAAACTGCCCAAAAGGACTGGGTTCCTCCATGTGTCCATAGCACCATACAGATGGGAATTAAGGCATGGGGAGACCTTGAGCTTCCTCAAGGGGCTGGCAGGTGTGACTGTGAGCCTATGGCACGTGACTCCAGACTCTGCTGTGACCCACCGCACTGCATCATATCATTCCCTCAATCTGAGGTTCTTCCATTAAACTGACAGCCAGTTTAATGAAGGCAGAAAGCAAGCCTGTCTCTCTTTGGGTGTGTGCCAGTGTACAGCCTAGTTTCTGACACACTGTCTCTCCTCCCTACCCTGACAAGGCATGCTCAAGGAACGAATGACTGAATACAACACATGTATACAACAGTGTGTTTCTCAGGTGAACTTAGTCCAATAGAGTATCACTAAAACACATGAACTGATCTGGGGAGAGGGGAGCTGTTCTAGACCTTCCACCAGCCACATTCACTGACTCCAGATGCCCTGTGGGTCAAGCACTGTGTCAGTTTTTTAGACAAAGGAACAAATCAAAGTTTTTGTCCTCCCAGATTATTAACATTTTAGGATCACAAAATTATATTTTTTAATAGCTGTGATTTTTAAAAATAAAGACACAATAATACTAGTGAAAAAGCTAAATAGATTTTATATATATATATATATATATATATATATATATATATATAAAGCAAGTTTGGGCATCAGTATCTTCTATAATAACTGGTACCCAGATAGTCTTTAAAGGAACAAAAATTTTGAGAGATTATATGATTTATAGCTTCAGTTAAATGTGGCACTACATGATTTTACTTTAGATTTTAATTAAGTGAGTTGCATTAAGGCATTCCTGATTCCATAAACACAGGAAACAGTCCCCTACCTAATAGAGTATGTAACCAGGTGATAAGGAAAAGCAGCAAGAGATTTTATAGCCTTTGTGAACACACTCATTAGCTGCCAGCTTCCTGTGTAATCACTTTCCTCCAACAAACTCTGCAGTTTCCAGTTGGCTACTTGCACTCTTGAGAGGTGGAGGTTCTTTTCTGTACTTCAGAGAAGTTTTCATCATCTAATCCTAAATATCTACCAAGATACTTGGATTCCAGAAAAGCCAATAATTTATATTGGAACCTGTACATTTTGGCACAGGCAACTGGCAAACACACAACTAGTGCTTGGAAGTATAATCTTTCCAAGGCACATGTACAACCACTCCAAAAGCAAATCAAATCTATTTGGTCCTATGCTTGGTTAAAGACATATGAATTAAAGTTCTATAATTCCCTTGACTTACATAAGGTCTATGGACAGGATATTCACAAGATGAGCCTGAAACAGTGGGAAAATAGCACAGAAGTTTGAATTGTTAAAAGGACCAAGGAGTCACCTTACAAGGCTCCCACCATCTAAAGATGGGACACTCTGAATACTGATAAGGATAATAACTGTAATGGACTGAAACTGATCATCACTGGTGAATGCTAGTCAGCCTACTCATTATTTTGAAAATTATTAAATAGAATTAAGCATTTATCATTATTTTCCTATATTATATATTTCCTATATAATCTATACTACTGGGTAATAATAGATGAAGAAAAATTTAGCTTTATAGAAATAATCCAGGTTATAAATAAAAAAATGAAAATATGAATTGCAATATCATCATCATCATCATTATCTTGCAACACTTAATGAACTGAAGAATCTAAGGTCTGAACATTTTTTTCTTTTAATTTTTTTTATTTTAAAGATGTGGGGTACAATTCAGGGTTAGGTATACAAATGTTCATTATGCAGGTACCTTTGTTAATGAAGTATGCACCCGCTTCCCCAGGCAGATTCCCACTACTGCCAATCCCGTTTCCCCACCCCATCTCAGCTGTTTTCCACTATGCCAATCAATCTCTTATAGTATTACAATAATTGTTCAAGGTCTGCTTATGAATGAGAACACGTGATATTCAGTTTTTTTGTTTCTGTGAAAGATATTTCAGCATTATAGACTCTAAGCCCATCCAGGTTGCTGTGAAGTTCACAATTTTGTTCTTCTTTATGGCTACATAATATTCCATTGTGTATACTGTACCACATTTTTTTATCTAGTCCTCTTTTGATGGGCAATATGGCTAGTTCCATGTTCTTGTTACTGTGAACAATGCTGCGATTAACATATGTGTGCAGGTTTCTTTTTCATAGAGTGGTTTGAGTTCTTTCGGGTATATTCCCAG